AAGAGAGGAGGGAGAAAGTGCCCCCCACTCGGGCATGGTCACACTGTAAAACCTTCTCCTCCATTTCTGTATCCTGTCAGGATTTGATCCATGCATCTGGCATATTTTCCAAGCTGTAGGGTCCAGATTCTTAACCGTCCAGCCTGCTAGGGAAGATCTGGCCTCCTCAACCACCAGGCCATGGGACCAGCCCTTCTGAGGTTTTTGTTTCTGGCTCGTAGATGCCTTCTTCTCCCTGTGTCTTTACATGGTCATCCCTCTGTATGTTTGTGTCCTGATAGCTTCTCATGTTAAGGACTCACATCAGATTGGATTAGGGTCCACCCTAATGACTTCATTTTAACCTAACTTATTTTCAAAGGCCATGTCTCCAAATATAATCACATTCTGAGGTCCTGGGGGTTAAATCTCCAATATGTGCGTTTGAAGGGGAGGTGGTAGGGGGCACACAATCCAGCCTATGACGCTGAGTAAGCCTTTGCTGTCTTGTATCAGATGGCAAAGCATAGGAAGGAGGAACATCCAGGCATAGAGCCAGGTGGGGGCACCTGCAGGGCAGCAAAGAGAGGACAAGAGGCAGCAGATGAGGCTACCACACTCTTGGCTCAGGTACAGATAGATTACACAGCACCGTCTCATCCCTGGAGGCCAAGACATATACTTGACCTGTCTCCAGCACCCAAGGATACCAACTTGGAACTCGTAAGATTGGGGGTGGGGGGGAGCCAACAGTGAAATACCTTGTGTCTTCTGGACGTGAGGAAGAAGTAGGGTCCAGCCTGCAGCCCTGGGCTATCCCTCAGTTTCTGAGATCTCCAGGCATGTGCACCTGAGCCTCTCTCCAGCATCCCTGTCTGAGCCAGGCTCAGGATAGTTTCTTACTGCACTTGTATGTGTTTCTGTTAACCAGGGGTCAGATGGCCAGGAAATGGGCAAGGTAAGGTTCTGGAAGTGAGATAATGGGCATTGACACCAAGTGCATGTGTGTTTCTCTCTCCCACAGGACATCAAGGACGCCCTGTGCAGGTATGAGCCTTTGGTCTCTTCTAGGGCAGGCAGGTGAGGCGTGGGGTCCTAGCCACCTACTGTAAGGTAAAACCTGGGCTGTTTCCTCTAGAGTCCAGGATGTGAAGCTGCAGCCACCAGAAGTGGTGCCCATGGAACTGAGGACTGTGTGCAAGGTTCCAGGACTTGTGGAGACCCTACGGAGGTTTCGGGGTAGGTACCAAACCCCCAGGTAGAGAAATGACCCAGGAGGTGACCCACCTCAACCTAGAGTGACCAGAGCAGTGTGTTCTGTGCCTTATGGCCACCTGCTGCAAACTTCGGATACCAATCCAGTGGGTGTTTTTCATACCAAGCAGTTTCTCCAGTTTTCTGGACAGCCGTTGGGTGAACAATTCAGTTGGATTCTAATTCTTTCTACCTGGAGTTCACACATACCACAGTTCCACAGATATCCCTCTCTTCAGACATCAGCCGTAAGTCCCAAGAGCCAACCAGCTGTCTGATCAGCTATAATTTTGGGGGTTCCCACAACCCACTTCTCAAGTTTTGATAATGTGTTAGAACAGCTCACAGGGGCCCAGCAGGTGACATTGTGGTTAAAGATGCTGAACTCCCACATGGCCAAGCATGGTTCAAGTCCCAGACCTGGTGACTGCCTTTCTCACTTTGTCTCTGTCTCTCTCGGGTCAAATTGGAAAATAGTAACAAATAAAAGTAAAATAATTCTTTTTTTTTTTTCAAGAATTATTTTAACTTGGGAACCAGCAGTTAGTGTAATGGCTATGTCGCTGGACTCCCACGTAGTCGACCGCGGTTCGTGTCCCGGACCCGGTGGCTTAAAACTCACGCCGGGCGCGTGTGCGTGCGTGCCCAAGATCCCGAGAGGAGAAGGGATTGCGGCGTGACCATCCCCCCTGGGGGGGGATTTCTCGCTTTCTGTCTCTATGTCTCTCTCTGTATGGCGAGCGCACGCTCCCTACAGTGAAAATCTGTCCAAAAAAAAAAAAAAAGAAGAAAGCTCACAGAATTTAGGAAAATATTTCACTTAGCATTACTATAAAGGATGTATTGCAAAAATGGAATTTCTCCAACTATACACTCAAAACAGGTCATGTCTGTGATCTCCTCTCCTCTCCTCTCTGGTTTGATTAATTTGTCCAGAGGTTGACAGAACTCAGGGAAACACGTTTACTAATTTATTATAAAAGATAATCACAAAGAATATAGATGAAGAGAAGCAGAGAGCAAGGCGTGTGTGAAGGAGCAAAGAGCTTCTGTGCCCTCTGGGCACACCACCTTCCAGGAACCTCCACGTATTCAGCCATATGAGAGTGCTTCAAACCCTGTCCTTTTGGTTTTTTAGACTTGGTTGCATGGGCATGATTGAAGCATGGACAACTATGTAGAAATGTGATTGGACAGAAGAGATACAATCTAATGCTAATGGACTGAGGGGAAGCCCAGCCAGGCCTGTCCAGATTCTTGTGGGCCTCTCTCCAGCATTTCTGCCTCCTGGGTTGGGGCAGGACCCTCTCTGAAACAGGAGTCTTGTGACCTGCTATCAGACAAGATCTATGGCATCCTATGTTCTTCCTTGCAGAAGAGAAATTCTAGTTTCTATAGTATGTCTTGGGGAGAAAAAGGAGCAGATGAAAAGAGCAGGCATAGATTGGATGGTCTTTCACCTTTATCTCTCTGAAGCTATTTAAGGAACCAAGGACAAAAGGCCAAATACTTATGAGCCAGGAACCGTGGACTAAAAAAACAAAACATGTGCATGTACTAGAATATCACAATATACAACTCGGAGCAGCCACGTGGAAGAAATGCGTAGGCCAGTGCATCCTCATGCCCTCTGTGCCCCCCGTCCGCCATCTCATGTGTTCATCAATCCGGAAACTCTTACAGAGGCATGATTGATTAAATCACTGGTCATTGGTGATGGGACTCAACCTCTAGCTCCTTTCCTCTTCCTGAGGTTAGAGGGTAGAGCTGAATGTGTGGACCTGCTAATCCCATGGTTGATCTGTGTAGTAACCAGACCCCAAATCTGAGGCTATGTAGGGTCCTCACCTGCATCATAAACTTGAGAGTGATGAAAAGGAATAAAAACAGATGCTCTAATCACTTAGGAAATTCTGAGTATTTTAGGAACTCAGTTCTAAGAACCCAGGACAAAAATCTGTTTCTTACAGTCATCTAGTGCTAATGCTGTCTTGGGCTCTTGCTGCCAGATTAAGTATTTGTGTGTGTGTGTAGAAGCTTATGCAGGCCCCCGGTGTGGATAGATGAGAAATCCAGGAGTGGTGAGAAACCCTTTTGCACTTCTGAAAGAGGGTCTCCATGTTGCTCTGGGAGTGGCCAAAACCCAGTGAAGCCCAGTGCGAAAGTTGGCCAGATCTCATAGGCTTCAGTTTGAAATGGAAAAAAAAAGTGAAAGTAGAAAGCAGCTAACATTTCTTTTTTCTTTTTTTTGGAGAGGTTTTTGCTATAGGGCGTGTGCGCTCGCCAGACAGACAGAGAAGAGACAGAGAGATAGAAAGCGAGAAATTACCCCCTGGGGGGATGGCCACGCCGCAATCCCTTCTCCTCCATTCTCCTCTCGGGATGTTGGGCACGCACACACACGCGCCCGGCGTGAGTTTTAAGCCACCAGGTCCGGGACGTGAACCGCGGTTGACTACGTGGGAGTCCAGCGACATAGCCATTACGCTAACTGCTGGTCCTGAAAGCAGCTAACATTTCTTCCTGTTTTCCAAAGACAGAATAAGTTACAACTAAAAGTGGTTGGGTGACTTTGAGTATGAGGAGTATTTTACTTGGATACTTGTTAGTCACTCCAGGAGGTCATATGGTTGGAACCACCTCAGGCAGAGAGCAGTGCAGACTAGCAGGAAT